CTCCACTGTGCTGAATTTGTTAAATAGCATTTCATTTCCATCTTTCACTGGAAGTTCTCCATTTATTTATAACCAATATTTTACTTCATTAATTTAATTTAATTTCGTTTCAATATTTTGTTTTATTTCAGCCAGCTACATTTCCCTTGTGAAACATGAATTTTTTGAGGCAGATCCATGCCATAAGACTCTGCACTCCACTGTGCTGAATTCGTTAAACAGCATTTCATTTCCATCTTTCACTAAAAGTTCTCTATTTATTTCCAATATTTATTTTATTTTATTTTATTTTATTTTATTTTATTTTATTTTATTTATTTTATTTTACTTTATTATTTTATTTTTATATTTTACCTTATTTTATTTAATTTCATTTTAATATGTGATTTTATTTTATTTATTTCACTTCATTTTCATTTCAGACAGCTACATTTCCCTTGCAATACACAGATTTTTTTGAGGCAGATCTCTGCCATAAAACTCTGAACTCTGCTGTGCTGGTTTTCTTTCACGGAGTTTTATTTCCATCTTTCATTAGAAAGGAGCTCAGGGAGTCCCACAAGTCCCAGCGCCAGGGGCTGCTCCTGCTTTGGGACAATCCCAGACAGGAGCAGGGACTGGGAGCAGCTCTGGGGGTTCTGATCTCCAACCCTGGCCTGGGAGCAGCAGGGAAGGGACTGGGATTGGGACTGGGATGGGAACTGGGACTGGGGTTGGGATTGGGACTGGGACTAGGATTGGAATTGGGGTTGGAGTTGGGTTTGGGATGGGTTGGGGTTGAGATTGGGATTGGGATTGGGACTGGCACTGGGATTGAGGTTGGGGTTGGGATTGGGGTTGGGATTGGGATTGGGATTGGGACTGGGATTGGAATTGGGGTTGGAGTTGGGTTTGGGAGGGGTTGGGGTTGAGATTGGGATTGGGGTTAGGACTGGGACTGGGATTAGGTTTGGGGCTAGGGGCCAGGCTGGAGCAGCCTGGCACAGCGGGAGGTGTCCCTGCCATGGATCTGGATGAATTTTAGGGTCCTTTCCAACCCTAACCATTCCATGATCTGCTTTTCCAATCCAACTCCTGCTTTTCCCAATGCAGTTTGACCTTTCCAGTCAGTGGCTCCTTCACAGGTTGCCCAGAGGGCTTTGCCTCCTCTTTGCTGCACCCTCCTGACAGCCTCAGGTGCCGGCATATTTCACCAAAAATCCTGTTCACAAAGTCTCCCATTTACCTTTTTGAGGAGCTTTTCCTGTGCCAAGCAGCCCCTCTGGGCTGATTTCTCTCAGCTTGATCCCCCCCCTAAGTCTCCCACACACAGGTCTGAGCCTCTCCAACACAATCCAGGCGCTTGAAGGGAGTTTACAAAGTACCCAAAATCCCAACACTTTAATTTAACCTCATTTGAGCAAAGCAGGTGCCCTCCAAAACAAAACAGCCATAAAGGAAATCCCCAGCCTCGTTTAACAGTTTATTCTGATGCTAAATGTTGTTAAAGATGTTTTATTTCTTGATTAAATCTGCTTAATCACTGGGGCCATTTGTTCTTGTTCTGTGACCAAAACCCTCCAGAGCTCCACGTTTAGCTGGAGCCTCTCCTCACTATTCTTTTTGCTCAGCTAAGCAGATCCAGCCCTGAAAACATCTCAGGAGTGGTTTGGTTTTTTTTTTTTTGTTCTCTTAAAGCTGCTAAAAGTGGCTTCACACTTGGTCCAAACCTCTCCTCAAGGAAAATGTTCATCTTAAAACAACACAGGTTTCTTTTTTTGTTGTTTTCTTTTATTTTTAGTAGACAATTTAATATTTTTTTTACTAGATCACTATTTTAATATTTGCTGGTATTTTTATCAACAGCATTCAAGGAATTCACCATTTACATTCACTCTTTCCAGCTGCATTGGCTGAAAATTTCTCATGAATTTTCAAAGCAAAATGTCTGTAGTGAGACTCAGGTTGGATTTTAGAAAAAAATTCCATGGGAAGAGTGGTCAGGCATTGGAATGAGCTGCACAGGGAGGTTTGGAGTCCCTGGCACTGGCCCTGGAAGTGCCCCAGAGGTGTCGGGATGTGGCCCTTGGGGACAGGGTTTGGTGCTGCTGGGTGATCTTAAAGGTCTCTTCCCACCTTGAGAATTCTGGGATTCTGTGATGTTTATTCTTTCTCCATTCAATGATAACCAATTATTTCATTTTCTATTTTATTTCATTTTATATTTTTTATTTAATTTCATTTTATATTTTTATTTAATTTTAATTTTTTATTTAATTTTCTATTTTATTTTATTTCATTTTATATTTTATATTCTATTTTATTTCATGTCATTTTATATTTTATTTCACTTTATTTACTTTCATTTTATTTTTTTATTTCATTTCATTTTGTATTTTATATTTTTATTTTATTTAATTTCATTTTGTATTTTATATTTTATTTTATTTCATTTTATAGTTTTTGTTTTATTTCATTTAATTTTATATTTAATATTTTATTTAATTTAATTTTATATTTTTATTTTACTTAATTTCATTTTATATTTTATTTTATATTTTATTTAATTTCACTATTGAATTTCATTTTATTTTACTTCATTTTATATTTTATTTTACTTCATTTTATATTTTATTTCATTTCTTATTTTATTTTATTTTATTTCACTTTATTCTATTTAATTTAATTCCATTTCATTCTATTTCAGCCAGCACATTTCCCTCGCCAAGGCGGATTTTGGAGGCAGATCCCTGCAGGAAAATCTGCAATCCCGAGGTTTCACACCGCTAGAGGGTGGTGGCAGTGCTGGGAACGCTTCCCTGGCTCTGCTCCAGGCAGCAATTCCGCTTTTCCCGCGGGTAAATCATTAGCGTTAATCACCCTCACTTACACTCAAATTGGCCCCAAACATTGCAGGGAAAATCCTTTTTTTTCCTCTTTTTCCCCACCTCTTCCAGTCAAAAGCGGCTGTCGCGTTCCCGTCCTATGAAAAAAGAGAAGATGAACAATTAAATCTGCAGATTAGGGAGATTCAGGTTTATTTATTTATATTTTTTTTCTGACGTCTGCGGCTGAATGAATGCTTAAAACTTTGAAGCTCTTAGGGCAGAGAGGTCCTTTGGCCCTGGAGCCCTGCAGGGCACGATCTCAGCTGACCTTTAGCCTCAATTAATTACATAAAACACAATTAATAACGTTTTTCCCCCCTTCAATTCTGCCACCTGGACTGCAATGGGCACCTTGTGCCAGTGGATATTTCCCGGTGGTTTTCCTGCCAGGGAGATGCCAGGCTGCAGGGACAGGGGTTTGGAATTGTAGGTTTGGAATTCTGCATTTGGAATTCTGCATTTGGAATTTGGATTTGGAATTCTGCCCGGTGGTTTTCCTGCCAGGGAGATGCCAGGCTGCAGGGACAGGGGTTTGGAATTTGGATTTGGAATTCTGGATTTGGAATTCTGAGGAACAGCAGATTTCAGGTGGAAAATGTTCACCGGATTTTTGGTGGAAATGCCTCAGGTGGAATTCCTCCAGGAATTTGGAGCTGCAGAGAATCCAGAGGTTTGCTCCTCAGTCACCAGCCCTGTCAGGAAGCAGCTCTGGCATCAAAGAATTTGGTTAAAAATGGCTTTATTTTGGCTGGATTTAGCATGAAACACCTGGGCTTGCTCAGAGAAGTTACTTTTCTTTTAAAAGACCATTTGCCTGCATCTGAGAAGATGAAAATTTTAGCACAAGTGATCACAAAACCATCTTGTATTTAGTTTATCCCTCAGAAAAAAAGACTTAAATGGTTCCAAACCCATTAGAGAGGCTGAAGAAATTGGGGTGGGATGTCTGGAGATGCATGAATCTCACAATAACTTCAGAAAAAATAACTTCATAAAATAAATGCATTAAAAACTGCATTAAAAATTTCAATAACAATACAATAACTTAATAAAAAACTTAATAAAATAACTTAATAAAAAAGAATAACTTCATAAAACCCAATAACTTCATTAAAAAACTCTGTGACCTTCAAAGCTCATTCTTGGGCCTTCCCCTGGAAAGTGGTGCTAAGTAGATATAAAAATAAATAGAAGCATAATATTATAGAAAATATTTTATATGGGTACAGGCACATTATATTAAAAATATAATAAATACATAATAAAATATTTATCTGGGTCTCTTAGGCCAGGTTAACCAGCCAAGCACACCAAGGGAGGGTCAGCTTGTCCCTAAGGCAGATAACAGAATTACAACACACACAGCAGCAATTTTCAGCTGAATTCGAAGTCTCAGAGCAAGGAATTTTCATATTCATGTGGCATTTTTATGTAAATATTTAATATTTATGTTATAGGCCATCCATCCTGGCCTTGAACACTCCCAGGGATGGGACATGGAGCTCATGTTTTTCTCTCTCTAGTAATAATATAGCATTATATATGGTAATTTATATATAAATAAATATATATACATACAGTATATTATTATACGCAGCACATTTTATATGTATTATATGCACTGCATGTTATTTATATTCCCACATATACACAAACAGTATATTGTTACATAAAGCACCTTTTTATATACTACATACTGTATATTAGATATACACCACATAGACATACAGCATAGTATACACAGAATATTTTTAAATATTATATTACATATAATATACAAAAAATACTATAAATACAGTACACACACTACAGGGTGTATCTATATTATGTGGTATATATATGGTATGTTATATGGTAAATTTTCATCTATAACATTATATATAGTGTGTACGTGTATTACATACGCAATATATACCACATACACAGCACAGACGGTAAATATAGTATATTTTATACAAATACAGTTTATTTTGTGGGTGGGAGCGCTGCCTCTCCCTCACGGCGCCGCCCTCACCCAACATGGCGGACGCCGCCTCACGCGCCACCTGTTGCCGCGGCGGCGGCGGCTTCCGATTGGCTGACACGGCTCGGGGGGCCGCGGCGGCGGCTTCCGATTGGCTGCTGCGGGGCGGGGGCGAAGGAAACAAGATGGCGGGCGGGGGGTGGGAGAAGCCGCCTCAGCGACGTCGCCGCGGCCGCCTCCGCTCGGCTCCGGCCATGGAGGAGCCGCCGCTCCGGCAGCCGCTGCCGCCCGGGGAAGACGAGGAGGAAGGGGAGGAGGAGGAAGAAGAGGAGGCGGACGCGGAGTGGAGCTTCGTGGACCGCGGGATGGAGGCGGTGGCGCTGCGCGACCTGCCCACCGCCACCATCGCCTGCAACCTGGACCCGCGCGTCTTCCAGGACGGCCCGTGCCGGGTGAGGCGGGAGCCGTGAGGGGAGCGCGGTGTGCGGGGCCGGGGGAGAGAGGGGGAAAGCCCTCGGGGGTGGGGATGAGGGGGCGAGGCTGTGGCTGCGCGTCCCCGCCCGCCCCCTCGGTGCTGCCGGAGCCCCGTCCCGAGGCGGGGATGAGCCGAGCCCGCTGCGAGGGTGGAGCCGGGCTCCGCTCCAGGGAACAGGGACAGGAGCAGAGGGAACGGCCTCAGGCTGGGCCAGGGCAGGCTCAGCTGGGCCAGCAGCAGGAATTTACCCATGGAAAGGGTGCTCAGGCCTTGGCAGGGGCTGCCCAGGGAGCTTGGCAGTGCCCATCCCTGCAGGTGTCCCCTGCAGGTGGCACTGAGTGCTCTGGGCTGGGGACAAGGTGCCCGTGGGGCACAGCTGGCACTCTGTGGTGCCCAAACCTCGGTGATTCCATGATTGTGGGGCTTTCAATACCTACAGCTCTTTTAGCTTCATTCCTTTTGTTCCTGAACTTGTTGCCCAGGGTGAAGCTGTGCGTGAAACAGAAATGAAATGAACTAAAATATCCCTGGACCGCCCTAGCCTGAGCTTTGTGCTTAAGGTTTTGTTTGGTGCACCCAATGTTCTGGTTTTTATTTTTTGGTTTTTTTTGTCATTGGTTTTGCTGTTAAACCCTTTCGTACTGAAGGAGGTGCTTAGTTTTTAAACAAATTTGAATTAAACAGAATGGACTAGAAAGATTAAGCAATAATAACAAATGAATTTGAGTTTCATCATCTCCTCATAGCTGTGTTGTCTTCACCATGGATGACAACATGTACAGAGCCTGCATAAATTACATTTCTATGGTAAAAAAATGGGAGAACTGCCTTGAACTTGAATAAATATCTGTGTTCAGGAGGGAAGAAAAGTCTGAATTTTATAAATAATACAAGACTTTAAAATAAAATGCAGGTGGTGCCCTTGGAAGGTAGGTGCACACAGACTTTTAATAGGTGAAAAATCAGTTTAGCTGTATGGTCACTGAATTTCAGCACTGAAATGCATAATTTAGCTTCATTTAATAAAGTAACAGAGCTGGCAAGAGCTGGTAACTCTTTAAAGCTGGAAATAAATGACATTTTTAGGAGCACACATGGACTGGCCACGTTTTTAATTTGTTTTTTGGCCAAATGTCAGGAAGGTGCAGAGAGAGGAAGTGGAACGAGGCCCTAAGGCTGTATCCCAGATTTTGGAGGTGTGAAAGGTGCCCTCAGCACTTGGATGATTGAAGAAAAACAAAGTTCTGTTAAAAATGAGGAAAATACTGCATTGTTCCGTGGTGTATCCAGTTTTCCAGAGCATTTGGTGTTCTGGTGTCCAAGGGAATGCAGGAATTTTGTCACTCAGGTGTGTGAGGTGACGTGGGCACACTGAAATGTCACTGTCTGAGAAATACTCCAATGTAAATTTAAAAGTCTGCCCTTGGTCAGGGAGTGAACTTTAAGAAAATTCCCTTGGTTTGGTGTAGAATGTGCCCAGAAAATTCCAACTTCTGCAGCACAGGGGTGGAATTTGGTGCTGATGAAGGGATCCCCACCCTCAGTGTTTGTAAATACTCTGAATTTTGCTGTGTCTGAACACTCTGCTTGTCCCAGCAGATGTAACACTCCTAAAATACCTTTTCTCTCCAGTTAAATGGGATTTTTTTTTCCCCTCAGTAATCCTGGATTGCCCTATTTGAGGAGGGTTGATCCAATCAAAGGTGAGACAAGACAGCCACTGATAATTATTTCTGTTCTGTGCCTCCCAGATCATGATTTGTGCTGCTTGAATTTTCCTCTTCTTCCTCCTTTTCAGTTTTTCATGTTTTTTGTTGGGGTGTTGATAATCCCAGTGGAGAAATCAGAAGTTTTCAGTGGTTTGTGATCAGTCTCTTAAAACCAGACCTTCCTGTTAGTTCTGCTAAATGACAGTTTATTCTCAGAAGAAATAAAAATTCTTCATGACCAGTTTCTTAACACCAGTCCCAAAATCTTTCAGAGTAAAAAAAAACCCCATAAATTTACCTAAACACTCACTCTCAAATTGTCTAAAGCATAGTTCAGGAATTCCTTTAAAGTCTGTATTTTTCCTTTTTATTGAAGTACAGGAAATTACCACAGACAAAAAACCCTTTTTCTGATCTTCAAGTTGTAAATTTCCTTGGAAAAATTTGGATTTTCTGATCTTTTACATTGGATCTGCAGCTTTTGGTAGCTTCAGTGTTGATTGTGTGCTTGAAGGATTGTAATTCTTCATCCAACACCCAGATGGATTTTATTTTTAAAACTGTGTTCCTGTGTACTCATTTATTTAAGAAGATGTATCAGTAGCTAATTTCCAATTAGGTTTTTGTGCTTTTCCATCCTCTTTGTGTGATATTCCATTTTTAAGAGCTGTTTTCTGTCTGTGGAGGACACTCAGGGGTTTTTGGTGGAATTTGTGCTGGCAGATCCAAGCAGGTAAAACAATTCCCTGGCTCCTGTCATCCCCAGGGATGTGCCACACTTCCCTGGGAATTTCACAATTCTGGCACAGGAAGGCTGAAAAATGAAATAATTTCATTTCTGCCTTGTTGGAACCCTGAGAATTTCAGCCTTTCTGTGCTGACAGGCACTGAGCACCAAGAGAGCTCTGCATTTAATCTAAAACTGTGAAGAAAATTAAATAATAGAACCAAAATTACAAGTGTGTAGTTTAAATAGAAGTGTGCAGTAACACATAGTAGAAAACTTAAAGCTTTAAAATATAATAATATATATAAAACAAGATAAAAATTTTAAAATAGAAACTAATCCTTCTTCATAAGTAATATTGTGTAATTAAATAAAAAATTCACATTACAAACCACAAGTAGTTATTAAGTTAAAAGTAAAAATAATTTAAATATGATTTCTTAATTAAACAATTTATCCTTAAAACCCTTATAAAAATACAGCTCCATTTTTAATTAATTAAAATAAAATACTGTAAAACTCACAGTTTGTGAAACTTTAATATAAACAAAAAATCCCATTTTACACATTTAATCCCAACCTTAAAAAATCCCCAAAGCCAGTTTCCATTTCCCCTTCACTGTGGGAACCCCTCAGCTGGGAAAATAGGAGCACAAAGAATTCCTACAAATACAAAGAATTTAATTCCTCAGAAAATCATTGGGGTTTAGGACCAGGAGAGATTTTTGATGGAGACAATTTCCCCTTAATTTTAAAACATTTAAAATATTTCTGAGATTTCGATCTGGTGGAGTCTCTGTCTCTGGGAGTGTTCCAGAGGTGTTTGGATGTGGCACTTGGGGACATTTTAGGTGTTTCAAAACCATATTTTAAACTTATTTCCATATTTTAGACCATATTTTGTTCTATTACCACAATGGTTCTGCTGGGAAAGTCACTTCCACCATTAATAATTCTGTGATAATTACCTTAATCTGCTAATTTTTGCAAATTAATGAACATAGCAGCAAGTTTTCCACAATTAACAACTTATATTCACAGAGAAACTGAAAGCAGGCAGTTCTGTCATGGGAACAGCTTTTCTCTGGGAAAACTTCAGTGGAAAAGTGAATTATTCCAGAAATTCATCTTGCTGGAAGTGCACTCAGACATGGAGCTGGGTCTGTGTCCTCACATAACCCCCAGGCCTGGCTGGAAACACTCTGCAATTATCTATTAAAAATCAATTAAATCTGTTTGTGCTTGAAGATAAAGGCCAGGTGAGTTGTCAGCCCAGGAGCAGCAGAATCCTGGGAATTCCAGCTCCCAAATTCTGCTTTTGCTCCAGCTTGGGGGGGTTTCAGTGCAGAGAAGCTTTTTGTGAGCTCAGCTGGAAATAAAGCAGCTCAAGGAGCCTTGCTTTGGGCATTCTGAATTGCCTGGCATAATCAGGAGGTGGATTTGGGGGTTTTTTAAGTATTTAAAGGATTCCTTGTGCTTTGCAGGAAGTTTAGCAGATTTCTCAGGAGTATTTATAAAACTTTCTTTACAAATAATCTCCATTTTCTGGTAATCTTTCCTGCCTCAGCCACATGCCTCATAATCCTTTTACTTCACGTTTTTTAAGCCTCTTAAATAACATTAAAAAAACTTAAAAGTAGATTACCAAAAAAAAAGGTGGTTTTACATTTATAGATTTTTTTGACCACAGCTCTGGTTTTGGCAAAATACTCCCTAATGGGAATGTAAAACTTAAATATTGGCACCTGCATATATTTTGAAGGTTTTCATTCTTTCCCTGCCAAAAAAATCTTTCTTTTTTTTTTTTTTTTGTGACAGTGTTTATAGTTTGTAATGCTTCTGGTTTCCAAATAAAGGTCAGGGTTAAGAGTGTGGTTCAAAATCACATCTCAATAATCTGGATTTACTTTGAACACTAAAACCATTACAAGACAATGGGAAACCTTCCATTGTGAAAAGGTTTTCAATACAACTGCTGGAGGTATTTAGTGAAGTATTTTGAGCAGCTTCAGGTTTATATCACACTTGGACCTTCTGTAGGGCTCCAAAAGAATTATTTCTGTTAAAATAATTAAAATAATATTTATTTTATTTATTTATTTCATAATATTATTTTAATATTTAAAATATTAAAATAATAAAAATCCACCTCAAAGTGGGCTGATAATGCTTCAAGCAAACAATACAAATAATTTTATATGTAGAAATAAAATGGAAATATATAATATTTATATCTTTATTTAAATATTCAAATAAGTCTCACTGCACAAGATGATTGTTGGGTGCCTTAAAAATACCTAAACGTAGACAAGCAGAGCTGTAAAATTGTCATGAGAAGCCTCAGTGTTGGAATTCTTACCAAAAATTGCTTCCCTAGGATCCAGTGCTCCAATCCTGAGCTCAGAGTCTGGAAGGAAGATCCCACACGAGGTCAGAGCTGGGCCAGGATTAATAACTTTGTTTTCTTGGAGAAAAGGGAAATTTAGGAAAACGTTGGTGAAATCCCTTGGGAAGGCTGACCTAGAACAGAGGCTGGACAGATTTGGAGAATAAAGTAGGGATTTATTAAAAGAATAAAGACTAAATAAATAATCATTTGGTAATAAATTATTGTGATGTTATTGAATGCATTATATATTATAATGTAATACTATATGAAATTTAATAGTAAAATATAATAATTTATTAAAATAAATTTTAATAAAATTTTTAAATCCCACACTAAAGCAGCACAGAATGTGAAAATAGAAAATCTCAACCTGAGGCATCCCTGGGATCACCATTTCCTTGGGTTCTGCCTTTTGTAGCAGCAAGTGGAGCTTTGTTCCCAGCATTATTGTCCCATTCATTAATTAAAAATATGGAAATAAGTGTCGTGGTTTAGAGGTGAGACTGGCTTGAAACAGCCCAAACACCCCTCAATAACATCATAATAATTATGAAATAATTATTAATATCAGGAGTGACTGAACTGTCCCATGCAGAGCAGGCTTAAATTACTGCAGCAAAGTTTTTATTCTCTGACAGTTTGTTGCTGAAGTAGTTAATTCAGGAGTTTTAATAAGCAGTGTTTATAAATTTGTAAATAATATTGATCATTAATAAGTAACATTACTTGGTGTTGTAACTGAAGATCAGGAGAACTGAAAAGTAGGAAAATAATTATAAAACAATGATGCAAATTCATCTATTGATGTTAACCAGAAATTCCAGTGAAGCCTGGGGGTTGTTGCTGTGTGAAAACAGAAAATCCTGGGATGGGTTGGGTTGGAAGGGGCCCCAAGGATGATCCAGCTCCAGCCCTGGGCAGGGACCCCTGAGCTGGCTGGGTTTGGTTGAGTTCCTGGATTTATTCCTGGTCTTTGAGCACTTTCCTCAGTGGCCATTTGGGGTAGTTTTTATTGGGGTTTTATCTCTTGTTCTGGCCAGGTGATCTTTTTTTCCTCATAAAATATGGAAACGTGGCTGAAACATGGGCTGTGTTCAGTGAACCTGAAGTTGGGACCAAGCTCTAAAATACAATTTTTAATTTTTTTTGTGGGTGTGATGCGTAATTAAACTATGGAAGTCATTGTCCTAAAATGTTTGGGAATGCTGATATTACAAACAAGGTGGTGGCTGCCAAGCACAGGGATTTAGGATGTGACAATATCCTAAATGGAGTCTGTGAGCTTCTGCCAGCTTTAGATGGGAGCAGAATCATCCAGCAGTACCTGCTTTAAACCTTTGCTCTCTTCCTCTCAGCATTTTTAACTGCCAGAGATAACCAGAATTAATTTCATTAATTATGGCAGTCATTGATTGATCACTCACAAAAGCAGAGCTGTCAATTCTCAGTGAATTTCATTTATTAAAATGTAACTTCCCTCTTCCCTGGGCAGATTTTCAGAGGCTCACAAGCGAAGAGCTGGGTGTGATTTTGCTTTTTGAGGTTTTCTTTAGAGTTATTTTGGTGCTGGCAAACAACTCTTGGTTACTGAGCTCTCAGGGGCTGGATTTGAGTTCCTTTGTGTTGGTGAAATGAAAAAGGCAGCAGGAAAATTGACAGAGCACCTCTGGTACAGCACTGCAGGGCTTTTTGATACACTGATTTATTGAAAATGTCTGGATCCCACAGCTTGGCAAAAATAACCCTAAAAAAACCATAAATTGAAGTTTTTTTACTTCTAGATGCAGCCAAGTAACCCAAAATCACTTTAATTTCTTGCATGGACTGAAAACCATTCTGGAAACTTCCTGGAGGTTTGGTCCTGATTTCAAAACAAGTGGCTGTTTGTGTGGAGGCCTCTTAAAATTCAGGCTGTTTTCCAAGAAGAACTGCCTGAAAGGCAGGAGAATTGTTCCTTTTTTTCCTGAAGGTAGGAAGCTGAGCTGCTGAAGTGCCAGAAGAGCCAGGCTGTATTGTTATAATAAATTGATTTTTTTTCCTGTTTGTATTTTTTCCCTATTCATAATCCTTATAGTCAAACAAACACTTCTGTGGGTTTGTAGTTAAAATATCCTCCACCTTTCTGATAACCCAACAACTGAGATAATATTATTAAATTCACTAAGAACAACTCCCATCTCTGATTATTTTAGTATAGAATTGTTGATAATTCCTAAAAGCTGCAGTAGGAATATGTCCATTACTGTGGAAATAGAGGACAAAATAAGAACTGAAATGTCCATTACTGTGGAAAAAGAAAATAAGAACTAAAGTGTCCATTACTGTGGAAAAAGAAGATGAAAGAAGAATTCAAATGTCCATTAGTATGGGAATAGAAAATAAGAATTAAAATGTCCGTTACTGTTGGAAAAGATGATGAAATAAGAACTGAAGTGTCCATTACTATGGAAAAAGATGGTGAAATAAGAACTCAAATGTCCATTTCTTGCAGGTGAAATAATGAGAGAGTTTCTGGTGGCAACCAGAACTCGTGGAGGGAGAATCAGTGGGAATTGCTGGGGTGTTTGCCCAGTCCTGGGGTGTGTGGCCATTCCTTTGCAGGATTCATTGGCCCTTGGGCCAGTTGCCATCCAGCTGGGAGCCAGCATTGCCTGGCTCATGGAAACTCTGATGAAAGGTTTGAATTTTCCTGAGGCTCCAGGATGAAGCAGCTGCAGGGGCAGGCAGTGGAAAGTATGAACAGCTCCTGCCTGGGGTTGTGCAACACACAGAAAATCAGCTCAGAGCAGGTGAGATCAGCAGACCCCGCCAAGCCTCCCACACCAGTGGGGTGTTCTCCCCTTGGGGAAGGCTTAGGATCTATATAAAGTATAAATAAACCCATTTTTGGAAGTTTTTCAGGTGTGTTTCAGCTCCTCACCTTGCCCAGAACAGCTGAAGTGCAGGAATTCTTCACAGGAGGTGGTGTCAGGAGAGGTTGTTCCTTAAGCTGTGCCTTCCTTCCTGAGCTGCCAAAGTGGGGTGTTCTCCCCTTGGGGAAGGCTTAGGATCTATATAAGGTAAAAATAAACCCATTTTTGGAAGTTTTTCAGTTCTCCCCTTGGGGAAGGCTTAGGATCTATATAAGGTATCAATAAACCCATTTTTGGAAGTTTTTCAGGCTTTTTCAGCTCCTCACCTTGCCCAGAGCAGCTGAAGTGCAGGAATTCATCACAGAGAGGTTGTTCCTTAATCTGTGCCTTCCTTCCTAAGCTGTCAGAGTGGAATTCTGTTCTTACCCACTGCTCTGCAGTGATGTTTTTTATCTCCCCTGCTGGGAAAAAGGCACATCCAGGCATTTCTCTAGCAGAAGTTGGAAGGAAATGCAGAACTCTGTTGGCTTTCAGCAAGTGAGAATTCCTAACCCAAAAACCACTGCCTGGAATATTCAGGCATCTTAAAATCTTTTCAAGAACTATTTTCTAATGCTGACTTTTTTACCCCTTTAATCAAAACAGGTGGATTCTTGCCATATGAATAAATAAATAAATAAAATTTATCCCCAAAGCTCTGTTGTTATATACCTTAACAGCTTAAAATGCCAGTGTGCTGCTGATGTGTCACTAATTAATGTCTAAGATAATTACAGTGTGTCAGGCATTAACCTCACCAAAAATGCAGGTGATTTGGGATAAATTCCAGACTCTTCTGTGGCTCCTTTTATTATCTTTTATTATTTTATCAAGGGCTTGGATGGGATATGGAAGGGGGTTGGAATTAGATGATCTTTAAAGTCTCTTCCAACCAAACCATTCCATTAGTGGCTTTAAAATCCTTTTGAAATTTCCAGGTACACTTGATTTGTTCTTTGAAATGCAGAAACTTCTTGTAATTGCTTTGAGTTTTTTCCTACCCTCCCAGAACATTCTTAGAAAATATTTTTGGAGTTTATCTTCCATTCTTCCTTCTGTGAGTGCAGTGGAAAATGTCATTCTTTAAAGATCACAGAAATACCAGCCTGCTCTGACCAGCTCCTGTTGTTTTCCAAAGCCTCCTGTGTTAAGGCTGATTTTTTAAATTTCCTTTTGTTTTTCCCTTAGTCACAGAGGATGTGTCAGAGGATGAACACGTAACTTCTGCTTGCCTGGGATGATATCTTTAATATTTGAGTTAAACAAATCCTGCTGTCATGTTAGAAGGAACTAGAAATTCAAACAACCCCAAACACCTGCTGATTTCATCCTTATCTTTGCTCTCCCTCGAGTCACAGTTTTGGCATAATACAGCTGCATTTTTCATGATAATCAATTGTTAAGTACAGAAGTCTTTTTCATCCTACTCCAGTGGGATTGTGGTCGTATCTTCACTCAGTGGGACAGTTCTTGTCCCTGTCACAGCTGAAAAAACACCATAAAAATTTAGAAAAGTACTTCAGGAACAACTGCCTTACTGCTTAGAATTTCTTGTAACTTTTCAGAAATGGCAATTAAACAGGAAAAGAAAAAAAAAATCCCTAAACCTCTGACCCCACAGATGATACAGTCCTGAAGGTGTGCAAAATATTTTTAATCAGAGTGAATTAATGAACCAATATAAAATAATGAGCAGCTGAATAATTCTTAGGCACTGCTGGGAATCCCTTCCATGGCTCACAGGGGTGATCTGGAAATGGTGAGAATGAGGTTTTTATTCAATGGAGTCAGGATGGTTTGGGATGGAAGGGAGATCCAAGATGGTCTCATTGCCAGCCCTGCCATGGCAGGGACACCTTCCACTGTCCCCAGTGTCCAGCCTGGCCTGGGACACTGCCAGGGATCCAGGGGCAGCCCCAGCTGCTCTGGCAATTCCATCCCAGCCCTGCCAGGGAACAATTCCTCATTCCCAAGATCCCATCCCTCCCTGCCCTCCCTGCGTCCTGTCCCTCCAGCCCTTGTGGAAGATGGACTTGGGTTAAATGAGGATTATTTTAGTGACTGCCTCTGGTAATTGCTGTGGAGTTGTCAGTGCAGGAAGTAAATAAAGAGTGAAATCCAGCCCCATTGTACTTTGGAATTCAGGGGGATGAGGAGGAGCTGGGACCTGGCTTGGTGCTATTTAGGGACCACTTTGGGCTGGGAAACAAATGCTGACAGTGGGGGCTATTTTTGAGAGGTGTTTATTTCTCACTGTTCATCAGCCCCTGGAGTTATTTGTAGTAGATCCATCTTCTCCAGTGCCTTGGTGAGTAATGATGCTTTAAAAGGTAAAAAATCGAAAAAACTCCTGAAGAAATAAATGTAAA